TTGTTCCACTGTTACCCTGTCTAGTTTCAGGGCATTTTCCATCTCCCCAAAAGGAAACCCCATGCCTATTTTTTTTTCTTTTTTAGATTTTTTTATTTATTTATTCGAGAGAGAGAGAATGAGAGATAGAGAGCACGGGAGGGAAGAGGGTCCGAGGGAGAAGCAGACTCCCTGCCGAGCAGGGAGCCCGATGTGAGACTCGATCCCGGGACTCCAGGATCATGACCTGAGCCGAAGGCAGTCGCCTAACCAACTGAGCCACCCAGGCGCCCCATGCCTATTTTTTTTTAAGATTTATTTATTTATTTGAAGGAGAGAGAGAGAGAGCAAGTGCACGAGCAGGGGCAGAGGCAGAGGGAGAGGGAGAGGGAGAGGGAGAAGCATGCTCCCGGCTGAGCAAGGAGCCTGACACGGGGCTCAATCCCAGGACCCCGAGATCATGACCTGATCTGAAACCCAGGAGTCAGACACTCAACCGACTGAGCCACCCAGGCACCCCGAAACCTCCTGCCTGTTAAGCAGCCTTTCCCCATTCTCCCTTCTCCTCAAGCCTGGCAACCACGAATCCACTTTCGTTCTTTATAGTTTGACCTGTTCTGAATGTTTTGTGGAAGTGAAATCATACAATAAGTGACTTTCTGTGTCTGACTTTGCGTGGAGCTAACTCACAGCCTGCCCCCCAGGGAAGAGCTGTTCTAGCTGTGAGGGGAGATCCCAAGGCCCTTTAAGAACGGCATTCACCTGAGTGGACTCTGCTCTGTGGGCGTCCCGCTGCCTGGGCCGAAGGTCAGGTCAGCGTGGTGTGAGGGGCACCGGCCTCCTCCCGGAGAGTCTCTCTGCAGCAAGAGAAGGATTGAGGGAGTGTGCAGCTTGCTGAATTTCCCTCCTGTCTTCCTCCCACCGTGGACCCCCACTGTCCCGTGGAAGGGGTGTTCCTTTGCTTCTCTGCAGGTCCTCACCATTGTATAGATTTTTTCTGTGTGTGTGTGTGTGTGTGTGTGTGTGTGTGTGTGTGTGTGTGTGTGTGTTTATGGGTGTGAAACCCAGTGTTCCTTCCTGGGATGATTTGATTGATGTATGCACTGGAAACATCTTTAATAATTTAATGCCTGCTTCAAAGGAGATTACACCAAAAAGCACATTGCTTTTCATTTATTCATTACAGATCCGTCATAGCAGAATTTTTTTTGTTTTGTTTTGGCCTGAGTTGTAGTGTCATAGTAATAATAAATTGTGTTCTACACTGTGGATATTTTGAAGCATTATAAACCTTTAAACTCCTGTTACTGTCTTATTTAAATTGATCCAGTTGGTAGCGTAGCACCTTAATCTTGCATTTCGTAAAGCTGAGCTAACCCGATGCGGCTTCCTGTGATGACAGTGAGGTAACCATGGTGGGAAAGCGTAACAGAATGGATGGGATGCAAGGGTAATACTGTGCGTGTGCGGCGGCGCCCACAGTGGTGGGGAGAACAGAGCCTGCATTCAGGGCTGGGCGACTCCCTTCTTGGAGAGAGGTTAGGGTCTGTCCCAGCTGCCTGCCTGAAAAGAAGAAAAAAAATGTATATGTGTTTGGGAATTGGGAGTGAAGAAAAAGCGTACAAGGAGAAACACAAAACTAAAATCTAAAAGCCAACTCATACGTTTTGCCACATTTCGGTATACGTCCAGATTTCAGGAAAGGAAAATAGACTTCTGTTGACGCAGAAGTAGCCACCTTACCAGACGTTAGCATGTTCTTGTAATAGGTTCTCAGAGAGACAAGAAACAGATAGATCGACATTCCTAAATGATCGCAGTAAATTTGGGGTTTTCTCTGTTATTGTCATTCAGTGTTTTTTCTTATAAAATTCTGTATAACTTCTTTTTAAAACCAAAACCGAATGTTGCTCCGAATAGGGCGAGTTTAGATACACTAACAGTTTCTAGCAGGGTGATATACAATTATCCAATTCTCAGAAATAATCTAAAAAGAACTCTGCTCCCGTTGGCCGTCAGTGCTGTAGTATTTCTGGAGTTTTGTTATGTAATGCTTCGGGGACTCTGCCTAGCCATCTTTATAACATTCCCTCGCTGGATCACACCAGAAGTCTTTAATAGAAATCCAGAAATGTTTTGTTCTCAGGTCGGTAATTCTTTCAGCGTTAAAAGAAATGCTGCATATTGCGGAGTCACACCTTTTCCAGCTGTTGAATGGACATTCGAGTGTGCTTGCTGTGGTGACTATGTGAAGTAGAAGCTTCTCGTGGTATTTCTTTAAGGAAGGACACCAGGACTTGGGGGCAAACTCTCGCCTGGGGTTCAAATCCTTGCCTTGCGGTGGTCGCCGCCGCGTGATGCTGAAGGTGTTGCGCGGTTTCTCCTTTTCCTGATGTGTGTGCGGGACATAAGAGGCGTACTTTTGCAGGGTTGCTGGGAGGGTTTCACGGAATGATGAGCACGTAAGCGCAGAGCATGACACTCAGCACCGATGGGAGCTGGGGGCTCCGTGGATGGACCCCACCTGCACACAGCATTCCCGCAGGCTTGCATCGGTTGCCATGACCAAGACCAGGTGGCAGGCTGCCACGCCCACCACGAGAGGTGCCTTTCCTGACCCACGTGCTGGGCACTTCTCTGCGTGGGCCATGTTACAATGTGCCCTGTGACCGCCCAGCTCTGAGCTCCTTGGTTCTTGTTCTGTTTGTCTCTGAATGCCCAGCATCCAGAGTCCCGCTCAGCACAGATGGGTACTCCAGGCCTATTCATGAATCGCGTGACCGCGCCTTCCACATGTCTTTTAGGGCCGCACAGTGAGTCTCCCCCACGTCCTTCAGAGTCCCTAAGAAAGGAGCTTGTGGTCTCTGGGCTTGAGACCCCCCCCGGCCTTTGCTTGGCCTCTCATGACATGTGAGTAGGAAGCCGCCCACAGTGATTCTGAGTCGGCTCCCTGTTCTAGCTCTTTCCCATCTGCGGTCCCCTCTCTGCCCTAGGGTCCAATTGAGGAAGCCCCCCTCAAAGCCCTTGCTGCTCAGGGGTGCATCCACACCACCTTTGGCCCCGGACATTTCCTCTCCCCTGCTTTCATGAGGACAGCGCGCATCTTCTTGCTCAGCGGACTCTTCCTTGGCTTATGAGCGTTCTCTGTAGAGAGAGTGGGACAGCGGTGTGGGCATGTGAGCATGCTGCTTTTCCTCTTGGAAATTGGAAAAATCACCTTCATTCATTTCAGTCTTATACATCCTTCCCAAGCACTGTAGCCTCCAATTCATAAATCTTTGTCTTTTCTCTTAGCACCATCTGGCAGACCCACCCCCCGACATGCTCATTTCTGTCCAGCATTTGGCCTTCCCAAGGGTCTCACCCTGGGCAGCAAGCTTAGGGATTGCAGGGGCCCCACACTGTTTGACGTTAAGCATCCAAATGGAAATGTGGAAGACCCAGGCTCACTTGTACTATGATTTAAGCTGCATGATGGCAAACACCATGGTTATTGGATTATCTTAAGAACAACTAATTTTTTTCTTTCATTTTTTTTTTTTTAAAGTGTATCTTTGATACCATGCGGTCAAAACTGAGACTCTCCTTTGGCAGAATATAAGACTTCACGGTTCAACTCTTTTCCTCTTCAAAATAATGTTGTGTGGAGTTTTGCCCTTAAATTTTGCTTCCACTCTGTTTTGTTTCTTTTTTTTTCTTTTTTCTTTACTTCCAAAAATGGAAGTAAACTTACGTTAACTTTTACAAGAAGACCATTAAGACCTCATAACAAGCATTTGAACAGTTTGAGGAGAATGGACTTCCAGAGCTGGAAGGGGGGATGGTCAGGGTGAATTGCATCTGAGACCTTCATTTTACAGGTGCTGGAGGACCACGTGACCTGTCCAGTGTCAACCAGAAAGAGGCAGGTCTAGGGTCCTAACTTAGAATAAATCCTGTGTTCTTTCTATACTATACTTTAAAAGAAAAGCTGTTATTTTATTGCAGGCAGTAAAAAAATCTAAGGGCTCCAGGACAGAGTATGTCCTACAAATGGGAAGCGACTCTAGTGTTTTCTTAGGATGTGATGTGCCAGGTACAGTGGTAGGCACTGCATGTAACTTCTCTCATTCATTGCCCCCTGGATGTTTTATTATATTCTCATGTTACAAGTGGGCACTCTTCTTATGTTACAAGCAGTGAGGTGACAGCCAGTAAGTGCCTGGCCAGGGCTTGAACCCGGGTTATTCTCCAAAGTCTTGGTTCTGGAAGTCGGCCTTCTGCTGTCTTTTAAATCAGATTTACATGTATCCAAATAACTTGGAAAATGCCTAATTTGAGCTCATAAATTCTTGAGCACTTCTCATTTTTATAGAAAGGACGTAGAGTTTCTTGGCCTTGGACCTGCACGACCGTGTTTGTGTTCTGAGATATAGTGTGAGCCCCCAGGCATTGTGTGGGCAGCGGTCCACCTTTGGTGCTAGAAAGCCTGGCTTCACGTCCTGGTACCACCACCATTGCCCTCTTTCTGTATTTAGAGAGCTAAATATGCCCGAGGCAGTCGCGATGAGGAGGATGACTTCTCCACAGAGACTTTTTTTTTAACCTCCTCCCCTGGGCCGGACGCTCCGCTCTATATCGGCCAAAGGCCCTGCAGTCTGGCTTCATCTCTGCCACGGGACTTATGAGCACTGGTCCTGGAGTCACACACCTTGGTCCAGGCCTGGCTGTCCACTTCCGTACAGCGGGATCTTGGGCTAGATACTTGGTCTCTTTGTACCTTAGTTTTCTCACCAGTAAAAGGGGAATAATACCAACCTCACGGGATTGTTGTGAGGAGCAAAGGAGGAAAAATCCTTGTGAAGAGTGGCATTCAGTAGGTGCTCAGGAAAGGTTAGCACATTATCTGCTGCAGAGCACTCTGCACGTGTGAGGAAGTTTTACGTGACTGTAGGATAATCATCATCACGTTGTTATAACGTGCAGTGGAAAATCTCTGTTGCCCTGCTTGCTTTTATCCATTGTTCATTCTGACCCACCAGAGGCCAGCGGAAATAGTAGATGAGGAAGAAGACGGAGAAAAGGCAAACAAGGATGCAGAGCAGAAAGAAGATTTTTCGGGAATGAATGGTGAAGTTGAAGCAGGAGGAGAGAAGGAGACTACAGATGCCTCTGAGCAAGTCGGGGGGCTCCCGGCTCACAGTGAGGAGCCGGCGGCTCCCGCCCGCGTTAACGGAGGCACCAATGAAGAAAATGGCGAGGAGCTGGATCCGGTTAATACTGAGCCTCAGGAGGCAGTGGATGAGGAAGTAAAGTCGCAAGGAGCTGGCAGTGGACAAGATGAGGTATTTCTATTGCTTTTGCTCACTTGTGTTCATGTGTGAATGTGTGTGTGGTGCACACGCCCATGCACTTAGGGAATTATTCAAGCACTTAAGAGTTACACTGGAACCACTTACTGTTGAGCAGGGAAGGACTCAATACCATTTACTTGACTATATTATTTCAGGCACTTAAAAGTACTGTCATCCATCTGTCAGAGAATCCACGCATTGTCCTGTCATCCACCCATCCACACACTCATCCATCCGTCCACCCATCCACCCACTATCACCATCCCATCCACCCACTAATCACCCAGCCATCCATCCATCTGTCCATTCATCCATCCATCTACCCACCCACCCATCCACCCACCCACCCACCCATCTACCCACTCACCTACCCAGCCATACACCCATCCACTCGTTCCCCATCCACTCATGCACCCACTCATCCCCCATCTACCCATGTACCCACTCATCCACCCACCCTTTCATCCATCCATCCATCCATCCATCCATCCATCCATCCATCCCTTATCTCATTCTACAGAGTTTGCAGAGGCTCCTGAGAATGTATATAACAAATATACACAAATACAAATAATTTAATATCAGGGAAGGTACAGACAAGACATGAACATGAAGGCCATGAGAGCTAGACGTGAAAGAAAGAATATCCCCTCTGTCATGGATGACTTCTTTGTACTCTGGAGATGTTAAAGTTTCACTTGTTTAGTTCACATTAAATGGATTGATTGAATTAAGCATTTGATGCACCAGGCACTTAATAAGATATGGTTCTATTTGTTATACAGAGAGGGTAAGGAATTACATGGTAAAGCCTCCTTCCTAGCCTGTTTTCCCACCAGGGGCCCTGCAGCAGGATAGTCTCACATGCAGGCATTCTTCCAGAGGATGGATGGTTAAACTAGAGACTGATGAATAGGCTCAAGTTCAACGTCATAGTGTAAGAGGTAGCCACAGCCTTCTTCCCATCCTTGAGAATGAAGCCTTCCTGTCTATCCCTCTGGGCAGGGTCCACCTCCCTCAGGCTGTAACCTCTCAAGTGGGCCTTGCTGTCTTCATTCCTAACACCCAGTGTCATGAGTGTGGTTTTCTTGATGATTTATTATTGACTCATCTGTTTTATTTTGCTTAGGGGGGGATCAAATTTAGTAATGGTAAAATAGCAAAACATTCTTGTGGCCAGTTTTTAATAACCAGCACAGAGTTGTCTGTAATCTGTTGTCTGTTTTATATGAAAACATTCTCAACATCTAAGTGAAAACACTCAGTGTGTCTCCCATTTCATCTTTCCTCAAGGTGAGGGAATCACAGTTGTAGGCAGCCAGAAATTCCCCATATGCTATTCTACATTGTTACTGAAATTGAGCGAAAATTTGTATCCTGAAGTTGTTTGTAGCTAAAATTAGAAAAGGAAATCAGTCCATTACATGATTCCCTTTCCCTCAATAAGGAAACAAAATGAACTTCTCAAGGAATACACACACACACACACACACACACACACACACTTTCTCAAGGGAAGCAAAATGGTTTATCTGGGGGTATCATCTGGAAAGCACAGTAACGTAGAGGACAGTATCCTCGTTGTCATGATATGGTAACTACAAGAGTCGGCTTCATGAAGCCCTCTGTTACTGTTGCCTTTGTTGAACGTCTACAGCATGAAATCAAAGTGCAGATCCTATGTGCGACCCCGGTCATAAGCTCCAAGTATGTACTCTTTCAGTGCTCTAGGTTTTAATTCAGTTTTATAACCTGAAACAGTTGTACAGAAATGAAGGGATTGCCTGTCTTCCATTCTGTAAATTTTATTTAATTAATTAATTAATTAATTTATTATTTTATTTTATTTTTTCCGTTCTGTAAATTTAACGTTTAAAAATAGGCCTCTTATAAGAATCGGGTCTCAGTCAAGATCAAGGTCACATAATGTGAAGTACAGGTCTTCCGGGGATGTACTGATGGCGAATCTAAACTTGTGGGGTTGCAAATGAACAAGTACCTGCTATGTGATGAGTTAGGGATGTTAACCCTGCAAATGCCGAAGCAGAGCAGTCACCCACAGAGAGACTGAATCTTACTTGACTCATCTCTCTTCTAATGGCAAGGCATCTTGTTTTCATTCTCCCTCAGTTGCTCATTCGGGGACATTTGAAGTGTATCAAACATGCAAAAAACAAGATCCATAGGAATCCTAAATTATACATTAAAAATTAACTTTTTCAAAAGGATCGTTTACTTCTAGAACGACTAAGGGTTCAGTTTGTGGTGTAACATTTTGTGCCCTGTAGCTGTTCTTAGGCACAGTGTGCTGGGATGACAGGAAGACAGCAGGGAACATGGGAGAAACATACCACAAGCGACCGACATTCATTGAGCTGGTGCTCTATTTGAGACATTTCATGAGATAACAATGTGAAATAAGAGTCCCAGTAGTTTTTTTTTTTTTCCTTTTTAGAGCATAAATTATGGCGGTAGGGGCAGGGGCCTTGGAGCTAGTCTCCCTGTTCCCACTCGGGTGGCCCTTATGAGGGTCATGGAACCTCCAGCCTTCCATGGAGCAGAGTTTGAAAACCAGCGAATTCCAATCCCATCCCCTTGGACTTCAGTCTAGTGGGAGAAGGACATGTAAATGAGACAAGTCCCTTGATACCATGAAAGAAGTCCGCGCACAGGGATGCACATGCCATTGGAGAAATCCTGCCTCTGTACTTGGTTTCCTTCCTGCCCTTATCTGTCTGATACTTGAGCGTACTTGGTACCATATTCACAAGGAATTTGTGAGCTCTAACTAACAGAAAAACAACTGGTATGGGGCTGGGTTAATGTGACATGAGGTAGAATTGCTGTACTTTTCTCTTTTCTCTGAAAATGCTGAAATGAAATGTATAAATATGCTATTGAAAAGAAAAACTTAAAGTGAAATCAAGAAAAAGAAAATTGAGGGGGCGCCTGGGTGGCGCAGTCGGTTAAGCGTCTGCCTTCGGCTCAGGTCATGATCCCAGGGTCCTGGGATCGAGTCCCACACGGGAGCTTGCTTCTCTCTCTGCTTCTTCCCCTGATTGTGCTCTCTCTCCTTTCTCGCTCTCTGACAATTTAAATAACATCTTTAAAAAAAAAAAGAAAAAGAAAAAGAAAAAATATTGAGAAAAATAAAGCCTGCAGCACGAGCAGTGAGTCTGTGCTCTTGCGGTCCCAGGTCAAGCTTTTGTGCAAGTAAGGTATTGAGGATGGCATGTCCACTGGGTCATGATCAACTAGAATACAAAAGGGACGGGCCCAAGGAACTATTTTTAGTTGAATATTTATATGATTACCTGAAATACAGAGTCATTTTTTTTCCCTTGTGAATTTTATGACCTTTGGGACTAAAGAGCTAAATATCTTTGTTTTGGTATCTTTTCTTCCAGGCTGACTTAGACCCTCAAAGACCACCAAGACCAGAAGTAAAAATCACGAGTCCGCAAGAAAATGAGAACAACGAACAAAACGAGGACTATGCTGTCGTAGCATAGATAATTTTTTAAAAAAGAGAGTGTATTGATTATCAGGAAAATGAAGGGTTATAATACTTGAATAATGAGGTTACAGTTACTGCTGAACATGGTGTGACAATACTGAATACTACCTATGGAATTCTAAGATTGGAGGCTTAATGGAAAGACTAGATAATTTTGAGTAGCTACTAAGGGAGAGTGGCTTCTTTTCATGGGATATATTTGTAAAAGTCATTTAGAGAAATTAAGTAAGAGGGATAGAGGGACAGTTGCTCGGGATGACAATTGGCCACTTGTCTTGGTAAGTGATGAAAAAGGTTAGGACCACACCTATTATAGACTTGTCTATAAATTTAGAAGTGAGGTTATTAGATGGAAGCTTATTCTAGAGCACTTATCTAGGAAGGCATAGAATTTTAAAGAGATGATAATAGGAAAGCATGTCCTTTTTTTTTTTTTTTAAAGCAACAAACTCTTGAATAAACAAATTGTAATTTAGTTTCAGAGATGGCAGTAGATTGAAATGTTTCCTTGACTTGTTGATATTCTTACCTTTCTTCCTCCTGATCCCAAATCCATCTCACACGAATTAAAAAGAGCACATTTTGGAAGGAGGAAGTCTCCATTCAGTGTGTTAGTGATTCATCTGGGCACCCCCCTCTCCCTTAAGTGCTTCAGGTTTTAATCCTTATGGCTTTAATGACACGCTCAGGAAGGAATTTTACCATGGAACACCCAATTATAGTCACTGAGCCTGGCTGGATAGTTTGCAAGTTCTGATGTCCTCTGGATTTTCATGGATCTAGTCTACCTTCACCAATAATACCCATCTCTTCATCATGTTACTGTGTTAGAAAACTCAATATTGGCTAGTCTAAAGATTGAATTCTCTCCAGAGTTTTATAAAAGAACAACAACAACAAAAAAACCCAAGACTGCATTTGACTTGTTTTTTGCCTTATTTCTATTAGGATTGGCCTTGTCATATTTTTGCCCCTAGGGATATCAGCAAATGTCTATTTTAATGGCCACTTATATTTAGACTTTCAAGCAGATTCCTTCCTATATAATTAGAAGCCCTCTGATAGAAACTGTTGAAAACTGTTTAAATTGTCGTGATGAAACCAGTTTCTTATTACACTTTTGTGGGCTAATTAAAAGAACTCACAATGGCCTTGTTAGGTATATATGGGGAAAACAGAATTGTATGTTTTCTGAGTTTTTAAGAGATGACGCAGGTCTTCCTTAAATATAGAAATAGTATATTTTTCTCATATTGAAGAATATTTTTGTTAATTATGTAGATGTTATAAATTTGAAAGGAAACTTCTAGTGCTTTCGTAGAATTCATTATTAATCATAAGGTTAAAAGATTTTCTTCCCCTCCAGGTTTCATAACCAACCATTTGGAATAAAGGTAGTTATATCAAGCACTTAATAATACTACAGAAAATGAATGTATTTTTTTTCCTAGCAGCTATTTTAATATTTTCTACAAATAGGAAACGTAAATGGAGACTATAACGTAACAGTATTGGAAAGAGATGGTGATATAAGGGTATATTGATCTGGGAGGATGAATTGTAAATGGGTGTTCTATATTTCTGGTATAAAATCTAGATTGTGCTTATTACAGGTAGGCTTATTTTTTTTCAAAGGGGACAATATGAAACGCTGTAAACTACAAGCAACAATCTTGTGTTGCTAGGGAGATAGGCTAGCTGGTTTTTTGATGTTAAATTCCCGTGCCATTACTGGGCCTGGGGTTAATGATGTTCAATAGTTTATAGAAATCAGGAATTAAATGCAAGAAATTATAACTAATTATCAAGGTGATTCTTTTACTTTTTTTTCTTTAATGAGTTTCTCTTTTTTCCTTCTTTAAAAGAGATCTTGTATTTTGTTTTTCTTCTGTTCCTCATTATACTATAAAGCTTAGGTTTTCAGGACCTTTTTAAGAGTCATCTCAATAATTCCAATGTTGTTTTACATGAACAACAAAATATACAAACACTTCAGGAAGATGACAGGCCACAGTTAACTATAGCAAAAAATGGAAAAAATCGGGATATAATTCTTCTCTTGGATGTGCATATTTTACCACCTGTTGACAAGATATATTGTGACCTAACTTGAGGGGATGAACAACAACTCATCACCTTAAAACTGTTTGTAAGCACATACTACTAAAAAAGAAAAAGAATGAAATATGTTGTCTAACCAAGGAAAACATCATTCACAGAGAATGGGAAGTGTGAACATCATTTTGAGGATGACATCAGCACGAAGAAGGAAAGCTGACTCACCCCCCATGTGTGGACGTGTTCTCTGTGGGAGTCGTGGTCTCCGTGGCAGGTTAGCTGCACCAGTTAAGCTGGACTCATGGACAGATCTGGGGAGCATTTATGTGAGTGAGCAGAAGAGATCTTGGGCAGGCTGCAAGTATTGTTTCCAGCAGAGAGGATGCTGTGACAAACTCACGTAGCTCTGATGTGCTAGCCAGTGGAATGCTTCTCCATGTCAGCTCTTTGTGAGGCTGTGGGTACAGACCCTCTCGTTCTAGTTTTATGGATCTCGTTTCTCAAGCTTAATTGGGTTGTAAGACATTCGTAAACAACTGGTTGCTTAGCTGAATTGGAACATTAGAGTTTTGCAGAGCAAAATACAGTTTTAGCTAACATCATTTTCATGCTAAGGACATCATCTCGCTCAGTATCTTCTGTTCAGTGTCTGTTGAGCATCCATGGATTTCTAGTTACACAGCATGACATTATGGCCATATGATAACTTTTTACTCATTGTTTTTCTCTATAGCCAGAGAATGACTTTCCACTTATTAAGACATTGCTTTTCCCCTTATGTCTTCTGGGGAATATTCAAATGCCAGACTCACAGGAAGAACATGATACTCTCATGCCTCCCATTTTATTCTGAGAGTGTTGGTTCCTGCTGTGGTCTGTAAAGACAGAACCATCCCATCTCTATGTGGCTCAGAGTCCATTAGATAGCTCTGCGGGCTCACAGTTGTGAAGCCATACTAATGTGAACTTATTCATGCTAGCTTTTCCAGCGTATAGCTCATAAACCAACATCCTGGAAAATTTCGGTAAATGACCTTACACACAAGGGATAAAGTTCATTCACCTAGGAAATATCTGTGTATTCAAAATTGTGGCCACAGAACATCAGGAAGGCTTCTTTGTGTTATTAACTGACTCTCCTAAAGAATTAGCTCTGTCCTTTCACTTTTGCTCAATAAGTAGCAACGCAAAATTTTTAAAAGCAGATTGAATTACTAAAGAGAAAGCATCCCATGTGAACTATTGCCAATTTGAACAGAAAGAGAATATATAGATATTCACATATACATATCAAATACTTATACAGATGCACTCACACACTTTATTGAATGGGCCTCCTCAGGCATTGCGTTATTAATAGAATAAGACTCTCTTTGAGAGAAGCAATGTGTAAAGAGAGGAAATGCTAAGAAATGATCTATATCATGGTGCTTTAAAAATTGTTTCCTGTAGGATTTAAAAGATTTAAAATTTTCAAAGTAAGAAAGCTACCGGAATTCTAATGAAAAGTTTATTCTATGAAGGAGTGATTGCAGATAGATAGATAGATCGATCATCATGTTTTCCTGACCTAGTGGCAGAGTACAGTCCCTTAGCTCTTTGTTACCAGACTTAACGACCATATGCGTTAGGTGCAGAATATTTCACACCAACAGGGACTCTGTCAAAGGTTATCACTGTTGGTGAATATATGTACATGATTTACAGGAATGCATAGAGGACTCTCTTTGGTACCAAGTAGCGAGGTGCACTGCAAATAGAATACAAGACTGACTTACTATTTTACCATTTTATCTATAATGTTCTAGTTCAGTACAGAAGCTTTGTAGTGTCCTTGAGTGACTGTCATATCCTGGAGTTGCAACACTTTCTTGTTTTCTTTTTCCTTTTTTTTAAGGTTAATCTGTTTTTCTAAGGTGACAAGCATGTGCAGTTCTTTGTTATTAAATATCAATCTTGTAAATACTCTAAGATTCTTTCTTTCCAGAAATTATCCCAGGATGGAAATGGGTCTGATTTTTGTTCTTACCACATAAAATTTGCATATTTCCTACCATGAAATCTAAGGGACTTGGAGAGAGCATGAAAGTGTGTCCCCACATGTTGATGAAGAAGGAAACCTTGCTTTGGAAGAGGTATGACATCCTGTAAAATATGGGGAATTAGGAAAGGATTTTAAAATGTCTGGATAACTGTAAAGCATTTGTAAAATCAGGAGGTAAGTAATGGAGCTCCGTTGACTTAAGCCAACAACAGACTTAGCTTCAATCTACAAATGGGACCACATGAATTCTCTGTAGTTTCTCTGTAGTTGATCAGTTTAAACCACACAGCCTAATTGAGTGACTGAGTTATTGCCACAAATGTCATGGCAAGTGGGAAGAGGGAATGACCATAGTGCGTATCAGAAGAAGTCTGGAGAAAACTCACCCTGGTTTTTGCTTTGCTGCTTCTTTTGTGCCTTAAATCCTTACTATGTACAATGACAATGGGTGATTATTGATGTTGTAAGTAAAAGTTAAGTTGTGCTTATCATTTTTATGTGATTTATGTTTAGAACTTCTCTTTGTAAGGAAAATTATTTGTGCTTTGATCAAATTTTGAGCATTAATTTTTTTTTAATTTCTGTATCAGTGCTCATTCTGAAATATGGAAGTTTACTGTATCTCTTGAGTAAATAGATCTTTGTTTTATTTAACTAAAATGTGTCTGGCTGTTTTATTGTTTGTTTATGATGTTGTGTGGTTATATTTCATTTCCCAATTCTCTACATGACGTTTTTCACAAATGCAGTAGAAACTTTTTCATTTAAACCATGTGGAAATTCAACACACAAAACGATACTTCTGTTTCTATTTGGCATGAATATTAAGCTTCATTATGTAAAGAAAAATTGTTTACATCTTCATATACATGTTGTTTAGTTGATGAAATTTTCAGGTATATTAAAAAAAACATGGTTTTTTCTTTTATGAAATGGTATTAGGGATACACAGGTC